GAGTCCCGTTGCCAGAGTCCTGACGATATTTTCCCGACCCCCGACGATATTTCCAGAGCCCGACGATATTTACCCGAGTCCCGCGACGATAGTTCAGGGATTAAATTTGACGACCTTAGTGGACGCGGCGTTTTGACGATGTTAGTGCTGTACTTGCATGGTTGCGTTCGCATCCACAGCAGACAAAGCAAGCGCAACCAAGCAAGCAACCAAGCCAGCAACTCATGAATCCCAATGAAGTGCGACACGATCAAGTGTTTCAAGGTACATTCAACACTTCCCTGAGCAATTGGAGCAACCTACCAACCAAACAAGCAACCAAGCAAGCAACCGATGAATCCCAGTGCGATACGCTCAAGTGTTTCAAGGCAAGAACAACAATTCCATGAGCAACTGGAGCAACCACGCAGTCGATCAATCAAGCACATCAATGCACATCAATTCCCAACTCACCGACCGACGAATCCCAAGCAAGGGCGACAACACCCTCAAGGTATACAGCAAAGCAACTGGAACAACCATGCCACCAGCATTCCAAGGCAACGTCGATGCGAATTCCAAGCATGCACAACCGACCGACTGACCGACCGACCAACTAAGCACAAGCACCAAGGCAACGTCGATGCGAATTCCAAGCATGCACAACCGACCGACTGCAGACCGACCGACCAACTAAGTCCTCTACAGGCACGACTTGGCCTCCTAGCACTTGCTGTGGGAATCAAGCCCCATAAAGCGGTCCCAAGCCCTGCGCCAGCAAGACACACTGCCCCGCCCCCCGGAGGGGTGGGTTCGACCAACAGGAAACAAACAGGATCAGCGGTCACGAGCACTACACTTCAAAAGCGGCTGCCTCTGACTTTGACGACTCCGCAGCGGTCACGCGCACTACACTTCAAAAGCGGCTGCCTCTGACTTTGACGACCCCGCCATCACCTGGGCACTCTCTCTCCCTCTCGCTCACACTCACGCGCACACTCACTCTCACCCTCACTCTCACCCGCACTCGCACTCGCACTCTGACTCTCACTCTCGCTCTCAGTGTCACTTTCAGTAATTCTCTCTCTCTCTCTCTCTTTCCCGCCCCTCCCTCCCTCCCTCCCTCGCTCCCTCCCTCCCTCCCTTCCCTCCCTCCCTGTTCCCTCCTTTCCTCCTCCTTCCCTCCTTCCCTCCCTCCCTCCCGCGCTCCCCCAGAAGATACTCACACCCTGCACGTGTCAAACACTTGATACACCATTTTTTTCGAACTCTGCACTGCGGCTGGTGGCTGCGATAACTCTCAATTTCTAGACAATGTTGCCTTTTTTGCACGGAAAGCACTAGCGGAATACAACACGGCAGATGCGGACGGTCTGAATGTGTCAAACACTTCATACACCATTTTTTTCGAACTCTGCACTGCGGCTGGTGGCTGCGCGAACTCTCAATTTCTAGACAATATTGCATTTTTGCACGGAAAATCATGGAAACCACTAGCGAAATACAACACGGCAGATACGGACGGCCTCACCGTGTCAAACAATTGATACACCATTTTTTTCGAACTCTGCACTGCGGCTGGTGGCTGCGCGAACTCTCAATTTCTAGACAATCTTGCCTTTTTTGCATGGAAAGCACTACCGAAATACAACACGGCAGATACGGACGGCCTCAACGTGTCAAACACTTGATACACCATTTTTTTCGAACTCTGCACTGCGGCTGGTTGCTGCGCGAACTCTCAATTTCTAGATAATATTGCATTTTTGCACGGAAAGTACTAGCAAAATACAACACGGCAGATGCGGACGGTCTGAATGTGTCAAACACTTCATACACCATTTTTTTCGAACTCTGCACTGTCCCTGGTGGCTGCGCCACTCTCAGTTTCTTGACAATGTTGCCTTCTTTGCACGGAAAGCACCAGCGGAATACAACACGGCAGATGCGGACGGTCTGAATATGTCAAACACTTCATACACCCTTTTTTCCAACTCTGCACTGCGGCTGGTGGCTGCGCGAACTCTCAATTTCTAGACAATATTGCATTTTTGCACGGAAAATCATGGAAACCACTAGCGAAATACAACACGGCAGATACGGACGGCCTCAACGTGTCAAACAATTGATACACCATTTTTTTCGAACTCTGCACTGCGGCTGGTTGCTGCGCGAACTCTCAATTTCTAGACAATATTGCATTTTGCACGGAAAATCATGGAAACCACTAGCGAAATACAACACGGCAGATGCGGACGGTCTGAATGTGTCAAACACTTCATACACCATTTTTTTCGAACTCCGCACTGTCCCTGGTGGCTGCGCCACTCTCAGTTTCTTGACAATCTTGCTCTTTTGCATGGAAAGCACTACCGAAATACAACACGGCAGATACGGACGGCCTCAACGTGTCAAACACTTGATACACCATTTTTTTCGAACTCTGCACTGCGGCTGGTTGCTGGGAACTCTCAATTTCTAAACAATATTGCATTTTGGCACGGAAAGTACTAGCGAAATACAACACGGCAGATGCGGACGGTCTGAATGTGTCAAACACTTCATACACCATTTTTTTCGAACTCTGCACTGTCATGCAGTGTCCCTGGTGGCTGCGCCACTCTCAGTTTCTTGCCAAATATTGCAGTCTTGCATGGAAAACCATGGAAACCACTAGCGAAACACGATACGGCAGATACGGACGGCATAAACGTGTCAAACACTTGATACACCCTTTTTTTCGAACTCTGCACTGTGGCTGGTGGCTCCGCGAACTCTCACTTTCTAGACAATCTTGCATTTATGCACGGGAATCACTAGCGGACAACGACACGGCAAATACGGACGGACTGAACGTGTCAAACACTTGATAGACCATTTTTTTCGAACTCTGCCCGTCGCTGGTGGCCCCGCGAACTCTCACTTTCTTGACAAATATTGCATTTTTGCATGGAACATCATGGAAACCACTAGCGAAACACGATACGGCAGATACGGACGGCATCAACGTGTCAACCACTCATTCATTCCCTGACTCCCTCATTCCCTGATTCGCTCCCTCCCTCCCTCCCTCACTCCCTCATTCCCTCACTCCCTCATTCCCTCATTCACTCCCTCCCTCCCTCCCTCACTCCCGCACTCCCTCACTCCCTCACTCCCTCACTCCGTCACTCCCTCACTCCCGCACTCCCCCACTCCCTCACTCCCTCACCTCACTCCCTGCCTGACTCCCTCCCTCACTCCCTGCCTCACTCCCTCCCGCACTCCCTCACTCCCTCACTCCCTCACTCCGTCACTCCCTCACTCCCGCACTCCCCCACTCCCTCACTCCCTCACCTCACTCCCTGCCTGACTCCCTCCCTCACTCCCTGCCTCACTCCCTCCCGCACTCCCTCACTCCCTCACTCCCTCACTCCGTCACTCCCTCACTCCCGCACTCCCTCACTCCCTCACTCCGTCACTCCCTCACTCCCGCACTCCGCCACTCCCTCACTCCCTCACTCCCTCACTCCCTCACCTCACTCCCTGCCTGACTCCCTCCCTCACTCCCTGCTTCACTCCCTCCCGCGCTTCCTCACTCCATCTCACTCCCTCGCTCCCTCACTCCCTCACTCCCTCAACTCCTCCCTCAAATTGCACTCCGTACCTCAATCACTCCCTCCCTCCCTCACTCCCTAACTCACTCCCTCCCTCACTCCCTCCCTCCCTGACTCCCTCAACCCCGCTCCCTCACTCACTCTGCCGTGCTTATTCCTGAGTCCTCAGCTGATGTTGCACGGCAGTACTATCCTTATCGCCCAGGTAACAACAGATCCGTTACCAAGAACAGCAGCAAAACCGTGGCCCGAGCTTGAATGTTCTGCACGCTCTTCAACTGATGTACAGCACGACTGTCACCACCCAAGTCAGCACGACCCCAGGTCACAACGGATCCTTCGCCAAGAATAGCAGCAAAACCGCAGCTGGAGGCTTGCATCTGCTGCACACTTCTTCAGCTGATCCTGCACAGCTCTGCTATCGGCACCCAAGTCAGCGTCACTTCAGGTCGCGACAGGTCCATCGCGAAAGACAGCATCTGCAAAAAGATGCCTGGATGTGCTGCACGTTCTGCAGCTGATCCTACACTGCACTGTCGTCGCCCCCAACTCAGACTCCGACAGATCCATCACTTAGTAGAGAAGCCCCCCGAGAGGACCTGATCTGGCACGACTGTCACCACCCAAGTCAGCACGACCCCAGGTCACAACGGATCCTTCGCCAAGCATAGCAGCAAAACCGCAGCTGGAGGCTTGTATCTGCTGCACACTTCTTCAGCTGATCCTGCACAGCTCTGCTATCGGCAGCCAAGTCAGCATCACTTCAGGTCGCGACAGGGTCCATCGCGAAAGACAGCATCTGCAAAAAGCCGCCTGGATGTGCTGCACGTTCTGCAGCTGATCCTACACTGCACTGTCGTCGCCCCCATACTCAGGCTCCGACAGATCCATCACTTAGTAGAGAAGCCCCCCCAGAGGACCTGATCTGGCACGACTGTCACCACCCAAGTCAGCACGACCCCAGGTCACAACGGATCCTTCGCCAAGAATAGCAGCAAAACGGTAGCTGGAGGCTTGTATCTGCTGCACACTTCTTCAGCTGATCCTGCACAGCTCTGCTATCGGCACCCAAGTCAGCATCACTTCAGGTCGCGACAGGTCCATCGCCAAAGACAGCATCTGCAAAAAGATGCCTGGATGTGCTGCATATTGCTTATCACGTGCAGCACTGCTGTCACTCGCACTGCACTGTCGTCGCCCCCACACCTCAGGCTGCGACAGATCCATGACCAAGCAGCAAAAGCCTGCTCGAGGACTGGATCTTCTGCACATTTTTGAGCTTATCACGTGCAGCACTACTGTCACAGGCGTCGCAAGCTGATCGGGTTTAGGGCCTGGGGTTTCTGGAGTAAAATTCCCGTATGTATTTGCAACGTTCCAGTCTTGTGGTCAGGATTGCCAGGAATGTCAAGGTATTTGCTTCTTTTACGCGCACAGCGCTGGCGCATCATGCCAGAGAGGCTCGTCTACGCGGACGACGACTGCATTCTTCGCAAGCCATGGATCCTCGCCAAGCCAGGTGTTCGTGGAAATCACCAGAGCGATGCCATACAGCCACACCGAGTAACAGTGCTCTTGACAGTTGGACTGCGCAAGCATGCACTCGTTCAAACCTGCCTGAAAGAGCTGCCTGTTCGACAAAATCATCTCTTCATTGCCTTCGTCGAAAACTATGCATTTGTGAACTTGTCGCTGAAAGCCCTTCAAATTCGGTTGTCGAATACCCTCGCATGAAAGCACCAGCGTCCGCTCTGCGCCCCAGAGCCGCTTCGCGTACTCGGTTTTTCCATACTGGCTAGGGCCAACAAGAACCAGGAAAGGAAAGCGTGCCCTCGTGCCAACTGTTGCAAAGAGCTGCATCCATTCCACCTGCAAGTGGGTTTGCTTAAGCATTCTTCAACACAAGCGCAACCACAGAAACAGGCCTAGGAAAAATGGGCATGACAAAATGCTGCATGCATACGCAGCGGCAACTGCAGGAACGATACGGCTCGGCTTCCAAGGCATCCAGCTTTCCAACAAAGCCTTAACCGCTGCATTCCGTCGCGCCTGTTGCCACGCCTCATGATGCTGGATCTCGGCCAAGTAGTTGCGAGTCCCGCGGCCACGTGCCGTCATGAGCTCGGATTTCGCCACAGAATCTTCAAGCTTGTGGCGTCGCCACAAGTTAAATATTGTTTGGAGTTCCACTGTAAAATCTCGATACGCCACGTAGTTGGTAGCCACGTGCACGCTGCCTATCTTCGGCGCCTGACAGTAATAGTGGCCAGCATCAAGAGCCCTCGTCAAATATCTCCCTTTTCCCAAAACAGGCTGAACATGTGGCTGGGCACCCATGAACGTCCAAAAGCCATTCTCATTGCTCAGCCTATGGCGTCGATTGGAGTCGGTGACTGCAAGGTGGAAATGCACCAGATTCTCGGGGCAACGTCTACGCAATGAAAGCTCCATTTTCAATGTGTGCCGAGGCCATTCCAACTTTTCGCACGCGCCCAACGCCATGACTTTGAACTGCTGCCAAAGCCACTTGTAAAAAGCGCTGCCAGAAACTAAGTGCACTAACACAGCTGAAGGCGTAGTCGCACTCATCTGCATGAGTTCCTGGGCTTCCGGATTTCGACAACCCCAGCGGCCGTGCCAGGTCAACATGTAGCCATGCACACGAGACCCTCCCTCGTGTCCATCTGCTGGCGCAGGGTCACCATCATGGTTTCCAGGAGCGCTGCTAGCGACGATCTGCAAGTCCAAGTCTGAATGCTGTCGCCACCATGCCAAAACAACCTCCGTGGAAGGAAAAGCTGGCTTGCCGCAAGCCGCAGGCGCCACCCAATGCTTATACCACTCGTGCCGCAGCATTTCGCTCGTACTCGATGCGAAATACTTCCGTAAAGCTGCCTTAGCCGCTTTGCTGTCCGAAAACTTCGCCTTCAGGTCCGGTGCTGCGGCAAGGAAACGGAACACCCAGGCATCTCGTGCATCAGTCCGGTCACGGTGGCCCAGTTGGTCCAGAGCCTCTTTGACGCTACGCGGCGTTGGAGGCCTTGCGGCCTTCGCAGTCCTGGTGGCAAGCATGAGGCTTTACCACTTATAGGTGCAAAAACGCTTGCAACGAATGCAAATGCGCAAAAGAAAGCACAACGACAAACAACAGAACCTACTGCGGAAGTTTATGGGGACAAGTTGCCAATCGATTCGTTGACGCTTTCGCCGCTCTTGCGCCGGAGCAGCGGGCGCCGGAGCAGACTCACTCACAGGCGCAGTGACACCAGTGTCACCTGCCTCACCTGCAAGACTTGCAAGGAACGGAAGCAGCGCAGCATCCTCTTCGTCCTCTTGGCGATGCTGTACACCATCGACACTGGAGCTGTGATTCACAGCACTGTCCAAATCTTCAAGAAACGGAACAAGTGCAGCATCATCTGGATTGGTCTCCAGCCCTGGCTCGGATGACAGCGGGAAGTCTTCCACCTGAGCCTCTGCCACAAGCCTTGCGAGCGCTTCCTCCAAAGACTCATCTGTTTCTGCCATGCAGTGCCATGCCTGCAGTGGAACTGTCACACAGCTTCAGTTGGCATTGCATAAAGCACGGGTGCTACAGGCGAGGCTTGAGACCAATGCAGAATCTCCGCAGACTGAGAGGCACTGCTTTGCTGACATTGTTGCTGCAGAATTGCTGAGCTCGTAAGTTCGTTGCAGTATTTAGGCTTGAATGCTGTTTCAAGGTCAAGGGAACCTGCAGAATGCAGAATTTGGCCTGGATTATGCCTGTAGGCTGCAGCAGTTGAGCAGCTGAGGCCGTCAAGACGGGCAGCGCGGCACATCTCAAGACATGACAACATTCACAAGACGTACATTACAGATTACAAGCCAGCTTGCAATGAAATAGGCAGCTGGATTTGGTGGCTCTGCTGCGACAATCCTAAACCCCACCAACTCCGGAATGTCTGTAAAGGTTCGTTTTAAGGACCACGGCTGTCTCGCCAAATCCCTGGACTTGCACGGACCCCAACATGTAGCTCAGAAACGCAGCGCCAAGCACGGTTTTCTCGGCAAACCCGGCGCGGACCTGCGCGGACCCAAGCAGCTAGATTAGAAACCTTGCACGATTTTCTCGGCAAACCCGGCGCGGACCTGCGCGGACCCAAACATTTAGCTCAGAAACCTGGCACGGTTTTCTTGGCAAAACCGACGCGAACCCAAGCATTTAGCTCAGAAACCTGGCACGGTTTTCTTGGCAAACCCGGCGCGGACCTGCGCGGGCGCAAGCATGTAACTCAGAAACCTAGCACGGTTTTCTCGACAAAACCGGCGCGGACCTGCGGTTTTGTTGGCAAACCCGGGGCGGACCTGCGCGGACCCAAACATTTAGCTCAGAAACCGTTCGCACGGTTTTCTCAACCGTGGGAACACGAGCATTTAGCCCAGAAGCTCTGCACGCACTACAGTTTTCGCGCAAAGCAAGCGCGGACCCGCACGGAGCTGAGCATTTGGTTAAGAAGTCTACTACAGACCATAGTTTTCTCGACCAAACTGGCGCGGACCTGCGCGGACCCGGGCATTTAACCGAGAAACCTACCGCGGACCACGGTTTTCGCGGAAACCCTGCACGGACTACAGTTTTCGCGCAAAGCAAGCGCGGACCTGCAGGGAGCTGAGCATTTGGTTAAGAAGTCTACTAGTTTTCTCGACCAAACTGGCGCGGACCTGCGCGGACCCGAGCATTTAACCGAGAAACCTACCGCGGACCACGGTTTTCGCGGCAAAGCAAGCGCGGACCTTGGTCCGGGCTTTTGGGAATTACAAAGGTTACAATAAGCAGATACCGCAATTGGAGCAGCAAGCCCAGCATTCTGTGTCGCTCTTGTTGCACCAAGCTTGGCCATTGTATGGGGGGAAGGGGGGTCGAAAGAAAGATTACTGTCGCAACATCTGGCTCATCCATGCAAACCTGTCTCACAACGGTCCAAACCAACATACAGTCGATTACTGTCGCAACATCTCGCTCGGCCTGTTTGCTCGGACACATCGCAGAGGAGACCTGTAGTCCCGGCTTTTAGAAAGTTTCGGGTTTTTGTGCTTGTTGCGTTTGGGCTTTCTTTGAGGGTTTAGGGTTATAAAAGTAAAACTAAACCTGTCTCACCTCCTCTTTGGAGGTTTGGGGTTTGTCAGACCAAAAATAAACCTGTCTCACGACGGTCATTGCTTCACCTTTCCAATTACTGACTCCGATTACTCTCGCAGCATCTAGTTCATCAGGTAACGTGTCTCACGCGGCCTAAACCAGCTCAGATTCCCTATTGGCGGGTGAATACCCCCGCCCACTTCCGAAGCGCCGAAAACCCTGAAGACTGAGAGGAGTTCCGTCGCCAATCCAGCAGATGATAGCTTGGTGGTCATGGCCTTATCAGCCAGCCACAGTAAGAGTATAAGAGGTGTTCCTCTCGTGCTGACTTCGATTGCTCTTGCAGCATCCAGGCCCAGAGACTCCAAACCCCTTAATTAAGGAATTGACTTCAAATCTAAGTAGGCTTCCGTTCTAATTTAAACTGCATATTCCTTAATTAAGAAGTTTTGGAGTCTCTGGGTTTGGGCTTTCTGCATCTCAATGATAGAAAGAGCAGACAGCGAAGGCGGAAAAAACAGCGCACACAGTCCAGCCCTCTACCTACGCCCTCCCACTTCCGAAGCGCCGAAAACCCTGAAGACTCAGAGGAGTTCCGTCGCCAATCCAGCAGATGATAGCTTCGTGGTTATGGCCTTTTCAGCAAGCCGCAGTAAGAGTATTAGATGTGTTCCTCTCGTGCTGACTTCGATTGCTCTCGCAGCATCCAGGGCAACGACGGCCTCAGCGCACCTCCAAAAATCATCGCCATGCCCGACCTGAGAGTCTCAAACTTCCGCTGTTTACCCGCTTGTTCGAATTTCCTGACTTTGACATTCGCACTGGGCAGAAATCAATTGCGGCAACACTTCGCGCAGCCACATTAACCAATCATCTGAAGGGAAATGTTCCTCTTGTACTGACTTGGACTGCTCACAGCACCTCTCTCACGACGGTCTTATTCTGAGGCCATGGCATGCTGCAAGGCTGAAGCATCCGAAAGTAAGTTTCTGTTAGCACCGCCAATAGCTTTGGTATAAAGAGGCCGTTACATCCTAGCAGTGCTGCTCTCTCGACGCACATGTCCCATGCACAGGTTTGCTGCTGCCGCAACTGTTGCTGTACAAGCCCTTAGGAAGCAGAAGGGTTTTTTCGGAGATGCCCCATGCAGCATGCACATGGAAAAACTCATATCTGTGCCTGTGCTCTGTCTGAACTCCATGTTGGCGGGCGTTTCACAAGTCTGCTGCCCTTAGTTCAAAATTTCAAGTTTTACATCGGAATCGAGACTGGTTTGCCTGATGCCACTCCTACAAGAAAGCCTACCCTCCCACCTCCAGCCGTCACAGGCGCTCACAAGTTGGAAGACTTTGGGCGATACTCCTAAACCTTTTGAAACTCTACAACACAACCAGACATGCAGAGCGTTGCGAAGCCCTGTTTGGCACAGCACGTGTCCGTAACGACACGCCTTCCTTCGCCAGCCCCAGAAGCTGCGCTTGCAAACTCCAGGCCGCACTCTTCGAAAAAACAGTTTCTGCAAGCTTCCAAAGAAGCTTCCAGTCTCAACTCTTCGAAAAAACAGTTTCTAGAAGCTTCCAGCTCCCACTCTCAGAGAACTGGTTGCCTCTTCTCTACAAGAAGCCCTAACAAGTCTGCCTCGCTCAGCTTTCGTGCCACCGCCCGCGCTTTTTTGAGCTTTTTTGTTTCGGCCTTTACCACCTTGCTCAGCTGCTTGGCTTGTACCTGGAGAGGCACATAAGGCTGTACAAAAAAAAAGCTTGAGCCTCCTAAGACACACATGCTGTGAGCCTTCGCAGCTGCCCTGGCAGCTTTTAAGGCAGCAAGGCGTTCGTTTAGCGTCTCCTGCGTAGATACGAATGAGCAGCTGCTCCTGTGGATGCTTTTTGGCATGGCTACCTGGGGCAGTTCCACACGGTCGGGCTCTCGTGGAAGCTCAGGTCCCGCAACCTCGGCCTCGGGCGGGGCGCTTTGTTTCAGCAGGGGTGCTGTGAAACAGTGTTGACCAGCCTCGTTGTTTGCCATGCCTTCAGCACGGTGTTTTAAGGCAGGGTTTGCTGGAGCCAAGCAGAGAACTCAGCAAGCGCCAAATCAACTGCTTGATGGCAGGAGCCAAAATCAGAGTGCTTGGAGCAGCTGATACGCTAGGAGCACAAGTCGTTCCTGTACAGTTGCAATTTTTTGCGGCAGCACGTCTTCTCTGCATGCTTCAAGATGTTTAGGAAAGCACCGGCACCTCTCGCCGGGGACCGCCCACCCAGTCAGAAAAAGTCCGGGTCAAGTCGTGCCTTTTAGGCAACAACTGGGCAAATTCATCTTGAGACAAAGCTTGCTCCAGACTGGGAATTCCCTCCGGGAACAGCGAGGCAAGCTTGCCATGCAACCTTTGCTCGGATGTGGGAAGGCCTGCCTGTGCAAAGGCCTTCCAAAAGGGACGATTCGTCCAGTAGTCTGTACACGCTTTGAAAATTGTTCTAAACCAAGTCTCTAGAGACACGGACCCATTTTGGCAAATTCGCTGCTGGCGGTTTTCGCGCTCCAGCCATTTCTTATATGGTCCAAAACACCATAAATCTAGAGGCTGCAGGTAGGACGTCATGCCTGGGGGCACCGGCAGCATGAATAACCCCTGGAGGCGTCCTTCTCTTATGACGCCCGGAGAAAGATGGCACGAGGCCGCGTCGAAGACAACAATGGCCTGATATTGCGGGAAGCGGATGCGAAAGAGCTGACCCAAGAGAGTGAGCAAGGAGACCATATGTCGTTCTGAATTCCATGAGGAATCCTCACGACAGAGCATCACGGTGGAGGGAACAACGCTTTGCAATTGTTGCTCCAGGGTTCTGCTGAGACGACGCTTGTTACATATTAAAATCTGTGGCAAATACGCTTGCACACCGAGGACATTTGAGACGAGAGCGACGTGGGTGATGCACCCACGTGCGTCTTGAGGTCTAATTTGAACCTCTGCGTGGAATTTCCGCTGTATCAGGCCAGGCGCAGCATGGAACGAATAGGCTAAAGCCGTTTCATCTATATTGATGTAGACTGGCTGCTTCGTGCTGGAGCGTTCCAACCAAGCAGCGTGGCGCCAGAAGAGCACGGCCTGCAACGAGAAATGGCTCACCGAAATTGAACCCAAATTGGGCCCCAAAAGTGGAGCCAGAACGAGGCCTCATTTTGGAGCCTCGTTTTGGGGTTGTAAGTGCTTCCACGAATTAGCCTTAGAAAGCAGCTCCAAAAAGAGGGTCCAAAAATGAGCTCAAAAAACATCCCCGCATGGAGTCGAAAGCGATGCGGCCCCTCAATCCTCGGGTCCAAATGCTGCCGCTGGTTAGGAGGTATCGAAACGCAGATGAGTGCAGAACGATCCACTGCAAGCAGCTACCATAAGCGTGCGGTGTTA